GGGAGGGCTGGTAGGGACAGGGGTGGGGGCATCCTCATGGAGACTGGGAGGGGGTGGGGGGAGGAGGTATGGGAAGTAGAACAGTCAGAGTGTGGAACTGGAGAGGGACAAAACTCTGGAGTGTAAAAAAAAAGATTAAATAAAATTAAAAAAAAAAACAGAATTAACACCTGATCCTAATAACAACATGCACCCACATGCTAACTAAGGAGTTAGCAAAGAGTCACAATATCTGAAGGATAATTCCAGGCTTTTTGTTTGTTTATTTTTCGAGACAGGGTTTCCCTGTATAGCTCTGGCTGTCCTGGAACTCACTCTGTAGAGCAGGCTAGCCTTGAACTCAGAAATCCACCTGCCTCTGCCTCCCAAGTGCTAGGATTAAAGGCGTGCACTACCACTGCCCAGCTTGAAAGAACATTCCAAACCAGTGAAATCAGCCAGATGCTATGCTAACATTCCAAAAGACTGTAGGTTTATAAAAATAATAAAGAACATGCCCATTAATGTCACAGCATAAATGACAAGCTGAAATGAGAAATAAAGTGAGAGGAGCACTAAGATGATGGAATCAGCTCGCTTTCTCATGAATTGGTTGTTTGACATTATGCAGACCTCATCCAACCAAAATCCCCTCCTACTGAAAAATCCAAACTCTAGACTTGATTGGCAAGCTGATACCTTAAGAGTATAAACTTACTTTCTGCATTCTTTGAATACATTTTATGTCTGATTCCAGAACTTTTGATGATTTGTGAATGGTATTGAGTAGGATAAATTCAGTAGCAAGGACTATACCATCAGTGGTTTGCACACTGCTGTCAAGGATCAATAAGCTTTAGATATCTGTACTTATTTCACTTTTATTCCTTTGACCTGTGTCTATAATTATGTTAGTGCCACATCGTTGGTCACTTCATCTGTAGGAAATGCTGAAATGAGAAAGTGAGCATCTTCCTCCTCTCTGTCTTTTCAAAGCTGTCTTGGCTAATCAGGATAACTGTGATTCTTCAGATTTGAGGACTGGCAGTGGCATTTCATGAATTTTTCTAAATCTTTCTTTTAAATACAACATTTCATTCCCACTAAAATTTTTAATCAGCTGAATTACTTTGCATGGGCTAATACTCTGATCAAAACAACAGGCAACAAAAGATTAGAAGCTGAATGAAAAGCATATTCCAATGAAGATCCTATCACTGCATCTTCTGTTACAATGTAAATAAATTGTAAGAACTATACACACATACACACTGAATTGCACTATAGTGTATCTGTAAACCAACATTGTAACACAATACAAAGATTGAAATGGCAAATCAGATTTGAAGTTTTCAATTAAATTGTTTAAAGTACCCAGTCAACAACACAACACAAATCCATTGGTCAGATCAGAATCTGAATAAAGAACATAGAATATTCTCCTTAGTTTACAGTATCCAAAAAGACAGAGAGAGAGAGAGAGAGAGAGAGAGAGAGAGAGAGAGAGAGAGAGATCCATAAGTAAAGGAACTTGTGTGTGTGTGTGTGTGTGTGTGTGTGTGTGTGTGTGTGTGTGTGTGTTTAACAAAGAATGGTCACTCAAAACATCTAAAGATATATAGCTAGATGAACATGGTTTATTTCAAAGAACTGCATTACCTAGGAAATGTAATAAAGAAGGGAATACTGTGGTACAGATGTGATCTCCTTTGAAAACCAGTATAAGCTCTGTGTTATCAACAAACATTTTCTAGAAAAGTTGTAATAAAAATCAATCCTCAAATTTAAATGTAATTCAGTTAAGTTTTCCAAATAAATCAAAATAGAAAAATAGACATAAGATTTATTCATTCTATTTCAAGTTGTTAACATTCATTAATATACTGGCAATTATCCCAAATTACAAGGCTTTAAAATCTTATAGTTTTATAGCTCTTACACCTACAAAAAAGATAACCCGGAACTCTGGAACCTTCTATCTTTAATAACCTAGCCAGATTCTCTAAAAGAAAAAAATAATCTTCAACATCTTATAAATTACTATAAAATGTCCATTTTGGATATTTACTTATCTGACATAAGATCCATACTTAAAGTGACACATAAGATTAATATTTTATATTATTATTTAATATTAAATAGGGAAATAAACCATTCTCACTATATAGCTGACAAACCCAGACTATAAAATGGTACTCTGAAAGAATTAAAAATATGTGGGTGTCTCACATTTTACGCATGAGGAAACACAATGAACAGAAAAGGCCAACAAGTTTTCAGGAGCTGAAAATGCTAATTTAATTACTGAAAAGAAGTCATGCGGAGAAGCTCCCTGCAGAACATAATTTACAAAGCATTGAGGAAGTTATATAAAAAGTATCAAGAAAATTTTAGTATCTAGTACAGCTATAAACCCAGACTTATAGAATGTGTGGATAATATTTGATCAGAAAAGGCCTGCATAAAAATAGTGGCAGTCCAATATTACTAAAATATTAAAAAATACGTTTGAACAAACATATAAGATGTGCTAATATTCTAATATGTTGAAAATATACACACAATGCTGAAACATAAAAACAGTACCATTCATCTTTAATTCACCATTAAAGATAAATATAACGTAGTATGTTTGGCTAAATAAATGTTATAGGTTCTGTTAGAAAATGTAGCTGGAGCTAAAGATAAGGGTCACCAGTCAAAGATCTGAGATAGGATTTAAAGGACCCACATAAAAGCTTTGTGCAGCAATATAGCTCTGTAACACCAACACTTCCGGAAGTAGGGAAAAAACAGGCAGCAGATCCCTAGGAACTTGCTAGGCAAGCAACTTGGTTAAACTGAGGAGCTCCAGGGTTCAATGAGAGACTCTTGCTTCAAAACTAAGAATGTAATCAAGGAAGACACCAACATCAACCTCTGAGGCTAATCAATATGGATACACAAAAGCAGATATACCCACAATATATACACACAAACATGTATGTGTATACATGTTTGTATACATAACTCTGTATGTATGCCATACATACAGAGTTAATGAAATATTTTCAAAATAAGTATTTCACTTAAAAGGAAATATGTTTTTATTAATTCAAGCAAATAAATTTGCCACACAATATGTAGTTCTGCTGAAGTTAATAAGAAGTGAGTTCTAGAGCATAATAAATGAAATGCAAAGCAGTATTGTCTAAAAGAACATCATGAAACTCTTACTGAAACGAATTTTAACTTAAATTGGCTCTGAAAAATAAAATCATTAAGGGATAATATTTATTACATCTGGATTACAGATGTGTATAATTTATGCAAACTGAAACTCCAACTGAAACAACAAATTTTTTATTAAAACTTAGTCTTGAAATATATGCATTCATACAGATACCCTATTTATAAAATAATGTCCAATGTTGAAAATGACATAATTTTTAATACACTTTCTGTCTAAAACTACAAAACTCTTTAAAACAAAGTTGAAATGTATACCTAATGATAATCTATGAATTTAATGGAACGTCAATACACAACAAAAGGAAAAGATTTCATGGATATCAAAAAAAAAAAAAGGAAAGAAATAAAGGGATGTATTCCAAAGAGCTACATCATCAGCCATTACTTATTTATTTTGGTTTTTCGAGACAGAGTTTCTCTGTGTAGCCCTGGCTGTCCTGGAACTCACTCTGTAGACCAGGCTGGCCTCGAACTCTCGAACTCAGAAATCCGCCTGCCTCTGCCTCCCAAGTGCTGGGATTAAAGGTGTGCACCACCACTGCCCAGCCAGCCATTATTGATAATAAGAAAAATGTATCAACCTCTTTACTATTATAGGCTTTGTCCAAATATACAACAGAATCTCTGTTTATAAGAAAAAAGGAACTAGTAGTGCAAAAAGTTCAGAAAATTACTAAAAGCCAAACTATGGATAACCTTTAAACTATACCCACTACTCTGTACTGGATGCTTTTCGTCTTTTATAAAGTACAAGAAAAACATTTGAGCGTACCTATCTTTACATAATAGAAAGCAGGAGTTAAATGTCTTTTAAATATCTTCAATTTCTAATATATGTTCTTGTCAAACTTTTTATTTCATCCCTGTTTTAGTCATTTATATAGCTATGAAACCAGTCATTTCCTTTCTGAAGCCATGTTTGTTGCACATATCCAGGAGGAACTGCTAAATTAAGTATTTGTTAAAGATGAGTTATACAAAACATGGTGCCTCGTGGGCCACAGAATGAGATATGCAGGTGTAGCAGGCAGACTCAACAGGCAACAGCCCAGGTTGCTAAGCCTGATCACATGGTGCAAGTAGAAAACTGAAACCTCTCAAAGCCATGAAATACAAACACAACCACAACAGGAGATGTTCCCAAAGAGGACTAAGTCCTTTACTGAGTTTCTTTGCCACCCCATAGGAAGAACAATAGTATCAACCAGCCAGACACCCCCCTGCCCCGAGCTCCCAGGGACTAAACCACCAACCAAAGAGTAAACATGGAGGGACTCATGGCTCCAGCTGTATATGTAGCAGAGGATGGCCTTGTCGGACATCAATGGGAGGAGAGGCCCTTGGTCCTGTGAAGGCTTGATGCCCCAGTATAGGGGGATTCAAGGGTGGGGAGGCAGGAGTGGGTAGGTGAGGGAGAACATCCTGATAGAAGCAGGGGGAGGGGGAATGGGATGGAGGGAATGGGGGGGGCAATGGGGAAAGGGGATAACATTTGAAATGTGAATAAAGACAATATCTTAAAAACAAAGAAAGAAAGAAACCACCAGATCACAGCCCCATTCTCATTATCAAAAGCAGGTCAACAATACACCAAAGGTACTGTGATAAAATGACAAGTTGAACATGTGCTGAACCAAGAGAGCTTTTCCAAAATCCTCCATGATTTTCATAAACTAAATTTTGAAGGCTAACAGCATGCTTCTTTAGATTATACTACCATTCTGCTTAAGCAAATAATTATCATCTAAACACAGTAGCATCCTTAAAATAAGTACATAGCAGTATCTTACCTCAAATTCTGCATGTCTGTGAATATCCTCTGCTCTCTGCCTGCTCAGGATAAATTCGGCCTCATTTGCTACTCTTACTAAATGATCCTTCATTGTTTGGCTAAGTAACCTGTAAGAGATGAATATTGTCAAATAAATATATGTATACATATAATAACAAATGGCCAGTCAGGGTTCAAGAGTGGTATATTTTGTTCTTTTGAAGAGAAAGGAACATTTAATCATTGTTCTTCCTTTATACACAGTAAGGTATCAATATTATTTCACTTCAACAAGTGTAAGAAAGTAGCAGCAAAAGTTTATACAATGGTAAGAGTGGATTCATTGGCTAACCAACTAAAGCAACTAACAATTCAACATTAAAGCTAAAGTGGTGAGTTGTTACCTTTAAAGACAATGGAAGTGTACCACTGTTTGGATAAATATCCCCAAAGGCGCATGTGTTGATGACTTTTGTCTTAGTCCATGACAGTCCTGGGAGGTATGAACTTTAAGAGTTTTGTACCTACTAGACATTAGGTCACCAGGAGTGTGTCTTGAATTGGATACTGAGATTTTAGAATTTATTCTCTCATGCTTCCCACAGCACCCAGTACATTGATATGAACAGTTTCTTCTCCATGAACTCCTACCATGATATACTGTCTATCCACTGACAAAAAAATAAAAACAAAAACCCACCTGGACCAAGTGGTCAGGTCTAAAACAAATAGATGAGCTGACCGGTACGAGCTGATCAAACTGGGTATTCTTGTCACATCATCACAACACTACATATCAATGCAGCCAAGATTTAAGAAGGCAGGACCCTCAAGGCAGAAGCACACTGACATTTAGCATAACTCTTCTCACTAAGGAATTTTATTCAAAAGTGAGACTGCAGAAGCTAAATAAAGCTGCCAGCAACCTATCAGAACTAAGGAAACCAAGACAGACAAACAGTCTGAAAAGACACAGGTATATAGAATCCTAGAATTTGTAACAGGTTTCCAAGCTTAAATTCAAAAACTCAGAAACTAGAGCCTGGAATCAAAAAACTGAAAAGTATCTCAAGAAACATCACAGGGACAAACGAGTATCATCAAACTCTTCATTTGTATTTTGGTTCCAAAATAAAGATACAATTTTCTATGTTACTATTTTGTTGTAACAAAATACAAGATGAATACTTTAACTAGATAAGTTATACAAAAGAAAAACCCCACATATAAATTAAAGATACTACAGAGAATAAAAGTAAGCAAAACTTTCAGCATGGACAAAATAATGCCAATTATGAAAAGCCTCCAAAGAATACATGCTAGGAAGGGCAATGAGATGTAAATAAAATATCCAGTGAAAGAGAGAGAGAAAGGAACAAAGGAAGGGAGG